CTACACCAAACTTTTGTTTACCAGAAACTCTTACACTAAACCTTAAAGAAATCATGATAAAGAGAATTAACAACAACAAACAAAAAAAAAACACTCAAAAGCCTCATAAATTAAATCACTAAATAACATCTGTGGGTAATATATCTAAACAACAGAAATTCTTTGAGCATTAAGATTTGCTATATCAAAGAACATCTCTTAACTCAGACACACCCAAATGGGTGCATTCTGCACAGAGGGCAAAATTTTTACCACTGAATTAAACAAATTAAAGAAAGTAAACTTATGATCACTTCTACATATTAAAAGAAAAAAATACTTAAAATTGAAATTCATTCAATGAAAAAGTTTTACTTATTTAAACTTTACATGTAAGCAAAAAAAATTTTCCGATTGTGATTTTGGGTTGACTTTAGGCACTCCAAACAAAATTGTTTCTTTTTCTTTTTTTTTAAGCGTAATACAGTATTTGTAGGCCCCTATGATGAAAGTCATAATAGTTGTGAAAAAAAAAATCAGTTAGACCTTGTAACTTCAACACAAGTTTTAACCAATCAATATTTCTCAAACTTGGTTGTAGTGGTGTGTTATAATTGCCTTATCTCAGCTTTGAGAAATCATAAAATAGTGATATAAACACATAATAAAGCTTCTTTTCTGTTCTTTTAAACTGTTTAATCTGATATGGCTTACAGATATTTGGAAAAAACTGATAAAAGCTTAGCTTCATAATATATTGCTAAAAGAACAGACATTCATGAATAACTTCTATTACAATTACATCCTTATATTTTTAAAAGCTTGCAAAAATCATGCTTTATCATTACACATGTATATTGTTATGTACAGGAATTCACAAGTTTGTTAAAGATTTTTATGATTTTTTTTATCTAAAAAACTGAAACAGAAAATTTTAAAAATATTCTAATTAACAGTATTATTTTCTTTCTTAATTTTCAAGCATGTGTTTCTTTGTGTAAAGCACAAAACAAATTGCCAAGGAATCACTGTGTACCTCCATTTCTTATTTCATAGTAGATTATAGACTAAACTGAACATTCTTTCTTCAAACTTCATTTCATACAATATAAATTCTGTAAGAGTTAAAATATTTATATATTTGTTAAACTTCAATAAATATTTACTGAAGATAAAACTGGAATCATGTTGGGTGTGTTTTTCAATAAGATGTAAAAACAGAAATGTTCCAGTTTTACTTTGGCTTAAATTTGTTCATATATTTCACTAAAGAAGAATTACACTTAAATTATAAGTGAGGAGTCATCAGTAAGGAGAAGACTGACTAGAATGTTGTATGTCTTTGTTTCCATCATTTTGTAATCATTGTTTTCTCTTATTAGTACAATTTGTGTTTATTTATATGAACAATCATATAATTTAAATCAGTGCCTGGTTTATATAGCAGAAATCGAGCATTAGTTAAATAGCATATTGTTCTTGTTTAGTGTAAGAAGGAAGAAAATTTTATTACTATTGAAGACATTTAATCTGTTCAATTCATCATGTTGAATCGTCTTCAAATATAAACTGTAAAAAAATTAATAATTTTGGTTATAAGTTAAAGATCTTAATCATTATCAACAAGAAAAGCACCTAAACTACAATTCTAAGACCTTATGAGTGAAAGTAAAGAAGAATGTATAACATGTTAACCACAATATATCTGCAACATAAAGTACTGACAAGGCCTTTTGCCCAATACCAGGGCTCACAAGGCTGGTTATGATTCAACAGACACAGTAATGGTTCAAATGTGAGATGCTAATTATAGTATCAAACTGCATGAACAAAACCTATTATGGTGTTAAATAGATTAAGTTAGTGAAGTGTAATTTTTATCAATTTTATGTAAGTCATATACAAAACAGAGGTAGGGCAATGGTTAATAACATAATATTCATTCTATTTTAACATCAATTATTTATCATTATTACTTTTTTAATTAAGTTTACTCATCATTCAGGCAAGTTAATCTTGATGTTCATGAAGCAGGTCAAGCAACCACAATGTTAATGGGAGAAGACTACATTAGTAATTATAAAAAATTCTGAGTGAAAGTAAAGAAGAATGTATAAAAATCTGTCAATCATACAATATCTGCCATATCCAATACCTACAAGGTTTTAAACTCAATATCAGGACTCATCAGGCTGGCTTGGAGAAGACAAAAATAGCAGTGGTTGAAAACATAGAAAAAGAACAACTGTTGTGGTGTTAATTAGATTAATTTGAAGTGTAATTTTCATCAATTTCATACAACTCATTTAGAATTAGGGTAAGGATTACTTACACAATAAGATATCAGACTTACAGTTAGTAAAAAAAGGAACATTTCTGCTCTTATACTTTCATAAAACATGCATCTGATCTGATTCCAACCAATTTAACACACTCCTTGCATATTATCCTATAAAAGGCAAGGTATGTTATATTCCAACCAATTTTCTTGGATTGAACATTAAAAACATTAATTTATACCAACTTTCTTTTAAAGGCTTAGTACTGTCATGATGAATTAACACATTGCTTTACTAAAAAAGTATGTACCTGACTTAAGAAAATAGCTAGTGCTCCAGAAACACTAGGTGTCTGATCACTAAGTCAATTATCTTTCATAAACTAAAAAATTTAATCTAATTACTTCAAAACTTTCTGGCAGAAGCTCTCACACAAATGCTTCTCCCTCAAGAGAGAGTATGAAACAATGGCAATGTCACTAACATAAATACAATTGCATTAACCTTAAAAACTAAATAGACTGCCAACTTCCTATAGTTAATAACAAGCCTTCTCTCAGAAACTATGTAAAAAACCATATGAAAAAACAAGACCAAATGAACTAAATATACAGTACTATAGCAGAACCTATTTTTGTTTAAGCAAAATAAGCTATACATTTAAAATTGTGGTTCTTGTTATCTATTATGGGCATTAAAGTGCCCATAATATGACATGTTCATATAATCATAGCACATATATAATGTGTATATTAATCTACAATTCATATAATGTTGTGATTGATGATATTCTCAAAGAGGTTAATAATGCTTCATCCATATTCACTTTTCTGAAACATAAAAAGTTAAATTTAAGCGCAATGCATTATTTGAGACTATGAATATTTTCATTTGTGTTCTTCTAATTGGTAATGTGTAACCACAAGTTATATAATCAGCAATAAAAAAGTAGGCAATGCTCAAGATTTTTGATATATTTATATAAGTGATAAATTTACATATGATCTTAATTTTTATAAGTGTAAAAATATGCAGATTTTTATTTGGAATGGGTCTTTCATGTGTTGTAAGTACTCTTAAATACTAAAGTGAATGAAAGTTACAAAAAGAAAAGAAAGTTCTGCATAGTCCATTAATGGTTCTCCTACTTCAATTATATTTTGCCTTGCATTTTTTGATTTTCTTGGTAGCTATGTTTGTAAATAATTCCTGAATTAGTAAAATAAATATTTTTGGGCAAATTTAATCAGGAAGATTGTTTTTAAGTTTCAAATTTTTTCAAGCAACTAAGTTAGCCACAGCATGAACCAAGCTGCCTTTTTTATTTGCTTAAATGTGATAAACATTTTGTACAATTAAAAAATTTCATAGAAATTATATAAATAAATTTATTACTGCATTATTGTTATTTCCCATCAAATGAAATTTTCCCAATTGTATTCTCTTTCATCAGTACTGTAAATTTAATTACAGAAATGCACCTATTGATGTGTTATAATAATTTTTAGAAAATTAACTTACAACACAATATACACGCTAACATATACATTCAGTTAAAAATACAATTAAGTTTACAAATGACAAAATCAGCTGTGAAAATTAAAAATGCAGAATGTTTAACTAAACTAAGTTGTGGTCAGCACACATATGAGACTAAAAATCATGTTCTTTTTGTATGATGAGCATTTTTCAGTATACATTGCACATTTTAAGTCAAGTATAATTCACTTAAGTATTCATAATAATAAATATTTTTTTAATTTGTATTAGGGATCAAATGTCTGTGTAAAATATCATTCATCCTAAATAATTTAAGGTGGTTTTATTGAAGCTATATATCATATGAAGCTTAGGAAATTTTCACTATTACACATATAATTCTTATTTCAAACGCTGCAATGATATATATTTTATGCTGTAATATATTTTTTCACCACTAAAATATTTTTTTATATAATACTACAAGAGAATGCAATTTGTTAATGCAATAAAATTCCCAAGTTTTGAAATTAATAAAACTAAAATTGTAGATCTTCATTGAAAATGCCACAAAAATTAGTTTAGTAGATTATAAAATCTAATTTATTTTAAGTGTGAACAAATATTGAATCTTTTAAGGTAGTGATTTGTGTTTCACAAAATAACTTTAATTGGTTAAGGACTCAAAATATGCATAGAAAAAGCACAAGAACTTGCAGCATTATTGATAATGTTATGGTTAATAACTGTAAAAAACACTGGTCTTTATCGGTTTATTTAACTTTTTTTTAAAATATTTCTCATATAAATATCACTCACTGTGAAGTTATATTATTAATACTTTTCTCCCATGTTAAAGAGTATAATAATGGCATTCTGGTTTCAGTTCATTGTCCACCAACTATGAAAATAAAATTTCATTTAGCAGCAAGGATGTACTTGGTGTGAAATGCAGCTATCACCAGAAGGTAAAGATAGTTATTAATTCCAACTATGCATGCATCCACATCAGTAATTAACAAGTTTATGGCAAAAGCATCTAATATTAATGCACTCTTGTCATACCTTCACTTTCTGTCCCACATCCAGTAAGGCAGTACTTTTTGCATGTATTGTATGTGATAAAATCAAAACATTTAGCGTGAATTATTATGTTTAAAAAATCAAATGATCATACTTAGGAATACATTAAACCAACAATTTAAATGTGGGAAACAAAATCACTTACAATTTAAACGTGTTTGGTAAAGCATTAAAGGATACGTGACAATGGATGCAGGATCAGTCAACTGATCTTTATGATCTAGGATGAAAATAATGCACATGGAAAGGATGGAAATGATGTGGACACTGAGAAAAAGTAGAAAAAGGAAGAAGTATCGATAATTTCTTTTCCCTATACAGTTGTTGACCCAAGGGCAATGATGGTCAAAAATCTGAAAGCAAATATAAAAATATTTAACATGTACATATATTTACCGAGCATATATATACACTGTAATTGTGGAAAATAAATATTTGTAGAAAAAAGACTGATTGCTTTTCATTATCTTAAAACTGATATTAAACTACTAAGCTTTGAAGCATATTCACATCTTTGTTATATTTGGCACTGAATTTTTAAAACAACATAAACTATAAAATCAGCTTTTATATTTATTAGGCTCAAATATTTTAAAACTTCAGTAAAAAATAAACTAAAAGAAACTACCACAATTGCCAGATCTTGAAATATTTCAATAATATGCAAAAATGTGCATCACACAATGATAGTTTTGATATTTAAAAAAAAGATGATTCTATTACTTTAGGTATAAAATTTCCTTGCAACAACAATTTGTCATACAAAAATGTTTTCTGAAAAAAAAAATTCAGTGCTTTGTATTTTTAAACTGCTCTTGTATATTTTTTGCCCTTTTAATAGATGAAAAAATCAATTTTGAAAAAAAAATAATAAATTACACAAAAAAGTGTTTTAAAAAACCATAAAAAGAACATATAGTAGTTGTAGTAAACCAACACCAAAATATTTATATCTGGTGTAGAAGATTTTTGTAACTGTGATTTATCAAGCTTTGATCCTACATATTTCTGAAGTATTGCTAGATTGATTTTTGGAACACCTACACTTACCTCTATACAACTGTTACATACACTACAATGTGAACATCTTGGTGGACGATAAAACTGACAGGTCATACACCATTTCATTCTTACTGTTACACCTTTTATTTCCACATTCTTATATAATGGTTGACGGAAGTCCTCTTCTTTATCTCCATCTGGATTTGCTGAAGAATCAAAGATTAGGTTTCCATGAACATTCTCTACACTACTCATAACTAACACTATAAAAAAAATTACCTGAAAGACCCATTTGAAATACTTGACATTGCTACTGGGTTTCATATAATTGTTTTAATATAATTGAATTTTTACTCATTTTCTAACAATTATACAAAGAGTAATATTTTCAGGTTCAGTAAAACAAAGATGTTAAGGAACAGCATATTTGTGAAGAATGTGTGAACAAAATATTTCAAATCAGTACCCATATCGTACAACACAAACTTAATTAAACTGGTTGACAAAATCGAACTTTTTTTTTCCAAACCAAAACTTTTCTATACCAGTTTTGCATGCTAATTCCAAATTTGTTTTTGGCATTCTTCTAGCACATCTAGTTATCGAAAAATGACTGGTGTTAATTTCAGAACAATTTAGGTAATAATCATACATTAGGCTAGTTAATGTTACAATTTTATTCATTTTTCAGTATAATTCTCATAAATGTTAGACACATCATACACTTGGTTAAATTTATACAGTATCCACTTCTGAAGAAAGAAATGTGCAACAACTTATATTATAATTAAGACAATAACCATTGAAATTTGATCGGTCTCATCATGAAAACTTGACATGCTAGAGGAAAACCAAAAACATATTTGGAATCAGCATCCCAAGAGCTATCTAGGCTACCTATAATTGTATCTGATGAAAATGACTTGCTGACCAATGTTATAAATGATAATTTAGTTTTTTCTTCTTTCTTATACATTATATTTTTGTTTTTTCTTGATTTTCTAAAATAGTAGTCCTATTATACTCTAATCTACAATTGCAAATCTATAAACAATGCATACAAACTGGTGGGTGAGGAAATTTACTTGAATACATACATACACCATCTATGTTATGGTTAGAATATTTTACCACATTTACTAATAACACAAGTGATGCCACTGAGGAAAGTCTCTCATACAGATAACAACTGATGATGCTCCTTCATGCTTGATGTTATGACAGAAATAATGGAAACTCCAATTCAATAATGCAAAATATTACAATAAAGATAATTTTTAATTTATTTCTGTGATAACTATAAGTTATTCAAAAAACAAAAGTTCCAATTCTTGTCTTACTACTACTTTGAGTTAAATAATTTCAGTATTTTTCATTTCAAATGAAACCATTCTTCCTGTTTGACATACACATCACAGCTGGATGAAGTGAGTGTTAGAATTTGTGCAAGTGCTCACCAATTGTTAAGAAGTATTACTGATGAATAAAACACTTAACACACTTAATTAAAATTGGTACAACCCATATGTCTAGTATTTATGAACATGTCAAGCCATTAACAAGCATGTAAGTCCTTTTATTAAGGTTTATGAAGTGAAACAACTACATCTATCCAAGTGCATGTTTATACCAAGAGAATGAACTGTGAAATAAATAGGAATACGATTCATTCAGACTTTAGTGGAATGAACAGATACAGGTTTTTGTTTAGATTTTGTAGGAATTTCTTTTTATGAAAAGTGGTTTTATGTTTTAAAGTATACTCATCAGAAAGAGCAGCTGCTTCCTGTAGTGTTTCAACTTTCTTTTCATCTAAGTAAGTTTCGAGGTCATCACGTGCACAACGTTTAAATTCCTCAATTAGGCATAATTGTCTTAGTTTGTCAAAATTGTTGCCAATATGCATAGAATTACACCATTGATCAAAATAAACCTATTTTTTGTGGGCAAATTCCATATGAGTTTGATTATCTTGTTTGCGATAACCTTGAAACTTTTGGCAATAAGCCTCTGGTACAAACTCGTATGCTTTGAGAATAGCTGCTTTAACCTTAACATAATTCGTACAACATTCTAAAGAAAGAGTGGCATAAGCTTCTTGTGCTTTACCAATTAAGACACTTTGTAATAATAATGACCAATTTTCAGTGGGCCATTCCATGGTTTGGGCAACCTTCTCAAAATGTTGGAAATATTTATCAACTTCATTTTTGTTAAATGGTGGTACTTTAACATATCGATAAAGTTCAAAGTTGTCATTTTGCCTTGGTCAATCAGTATTGAGTCTAATTTCCATTTCTTTCAGCCTAATTTCTTTTTTGGCTTCAATATGAGCTTTTTCGGCCTCAAGACATTTACTTTCTCTTTCAGCTTCAATACGAGCTTGTTCCTTCTCGGCTTCAATTTGAGCTTGCTCTTTCTCCTTTTTGGCTTCGATATGAGCTTGTTCGAGCTTGAGTTTTAGATGGATCTCTAATTTATCTTTATCACTCAACCCCGATTGTCTAGTAGGAACACTAGAGTATTCCTCTAATGCTTCCTCAGGCAACAAATCATCATCGACTAGTATTTCGATAATATGCTTTTTAGTTCGTTTTTCTCATTGATCTTTTAACTTCTAGTTCCAAAACTTTGGCAATTTCGAACAATTCATTTTTCTTATATTTTTCTATTTGTCAAGGGAGGGTGATACAAGAAAATCTTGATAATCAGACAG